GCTGACAAGATGGCGCAGCAATGCAGAGTTATGTATGTGTACCATCCAAGATGGCCGTCGTAGTAAAGCGCCACCTTCAGGCCTGTCTCTTATACACATCTAGATGTGTATATATATACATACATACATACATATATATAATATAAATACACACATTATACATACATACATATATATACATATATATATGTATATATATATATGTATTTATATATATATATATATGTATATATATATATCGTTTTGAGAATAGACAATTGACACGTTAGCCTAGTGACTGCGCACACACATACAGTACACGTACAAGTGAATAATAGTCAACATAAAAACATAGTTATAAATTCAAATAAGGTGTTTAATAAAATAATATGTCGAACATTCAGTTCGCATCATAATACCCTGCGCTATATACAGATGAGAAGCCAAACATGTGACGTTCTCCTGGGTCACTACTTGTCACACCACACAAGTTGGTTCTGAATGAAATAAATATCAGCTCTTACTTCAGCTGCTTGAAACCTTCAATTTCTTCTTAAGTTTTAAGCCTGTCGTTGAAGTTCAAGCTGTACTCCTCTGACCATCTAAAAATTAACAAAATACACCTTTCTAGAATAGTTATCCTAAACAAACATCATTTCAAGCATTCTGGAACATGATTAACTTTCATATTAATAAAATGGTTAATCTATAGCTTTATGCTACCAATATGCTGTACAATTGTATACATACGCCCATAATAAGTGTACATGCAGTAAGTATTAAAGGCGTCTAAATATCAATACACAATATTACTTGCATAGATACATTAATAATGCATACCACAGGTACATTCAACATTCCTGCATTAATTCAACCCTATGTAATATTACAATTAAATCTATCCCATTACGTTATTCAGTAAACAATTAACGTTACTCACGGTCAAACTAACTCCACTTGGCTCTTATATATGAGTTGCACAATACTGTGATGCTCCTAGCTATCACCATATATCATTTAGGTAGGCTTCACTATGCCTCTTAACTTTGCTTAATCTTTGGTGCACCTTAATAACTGACATGTCCCTGCTTGAATCATATTCCACAGCTTACACCCTTCCATTAAGCCTTTCCTTATGCAACTACCTCTCCCTTCTGGTTTCTCTATCAAGCCTACCCCTGCTAACACAAATTAACATAATATTCCCCCACCCATTTTCTCTACACTTATCAGAAGTTGCCACTTGCCTAAAAGTTATTCATATTCATAAAACTTTCAACTACCCTGGAGTAATGCTAAATCAACCATTAACTCATGTATATTCATTATACTGATTCTACACAATGAACACAACCATTAAATCATGAATATTTATTACGCTGATGCACTATACAGTGAGTGTAACGCATTATAAGGTCCACTCTGTGACACCAACCAATTTATATTAACATTAAGATTCTGAATTATTTTCATTACCCAATCTCCTCCAACCTAAGTCTTCTCCTCGCTTTCTTTGAACATTCAACAAGCACCTTCTTGGGGAATTCAGGTGGAGACATAAACACCTAAGTGAAAGCATAAAGAATTCTATTTTCTCTATGGTAAAAGTAATTTCTCGTGTGCCGCCCCTACATTATGGAATGCCCTTACCTCTTGAGATTAAAACCTCATCTTTCTGTCAGAAAAAGTTAAAATTGTATCTATTCTCCTTCGCATACTACGTTTTTTGACACACGTCATTGTTATTTTTATTTCATTTTTTCGTAATCTTACAACAATAGTATAGTTAACTATCCTCAGTAGTGTCATAGTGCCACTGAACTTTGCATCCTGTCTTAGATATTGGCGCTATACATAATATATTTGTTGATTGATTGATAATCAAATAAATAGTTATAGTTTTGTTTAGCTTGTCTTTTTTTATTTGTTTATAATAATAATAATAATGATGCATATAAACCTATATAGTGCATATTGCTAAGCCCGGTCATTGGATTAAACAGCTTTGGAACACACACACTGAAAGGAGTATTTCATGACAGATGAAAGTGCGCCAGTTTACTGGCTGCAGTGGACATGAAGTGACCCTCAGGGGACTGAGAAAGTTATTGACAAGTGCAACATCTAGTCCCGAGTGCATAGAGACCTCGTTTATCTGCGCTATATAAATCCATCTATTATTATTATTATTATTATTATTATTATTATTATTATTATTATTATTATTATTATTATTATTATTATTATTATTATTATTATTATTATTAAGTTGCACTCTCATTAATAGGGAGTTTTCGATGCACGACGTTAACTTTAACGTTAGTACCCAACATGCAGCGCGATAGCTCCGCCCCTTTTGTAGACAAATCGAAATACGCATGCGCAAACCCGTAAATAACGTACGTCGAGCACGTAAAATCGTGAAATTAACGTACTCCACAACGCAAGATGAATAAATTATGACGTCATTGGTTACAGTTAAGGTTAACGTCGTGCATCGAAAACTCCCTAATTTAATCATGGTCTTCTTTAAAGCACCGTAAATCAACTGCGTGCTTTTTTTTATGCATTGGTGTATGATTCGTTTGGTAGTTCGTCTTCAGATTTGGCTTTTTGATATTCAGTATTTGTCAGAGGAATGACGTTCCTAAAGTTTTCTCCATCTTCAATTGTTTCTGGTAGAGGGCGGTTCAATGCCTCAGGTAGCAACAACATCATGAAACCAGCGGTCAACGACAAAACAGTAAATATCGATAACGGAATCCATGATACATATTTTCCCTATAAAATAATGTTAAAAGTTTGAAATTAAAACATTGTAGAATAACATTATTATACAAAATTAATAAACACATAATTTATCTGAAACAATTATTGAATTCATGACCTTCCATTATTTGATTACAACGTTTTTTTATGAAGCAGCTCGATGGAAAAACTTACCCAACGTTTCAATGGCTATCAGAACCATTTGCAAAATTAGTTTTCTATTAACAACATCTATACACAGGGTTTGTGTCACGCTTACCTACTAGTTGAGCGTGTCATACACAGTCCAGCGATCAGCATGCAGATAATCTAGATGGTCATTCAACCTGGAAAAGGAGGTGCTGGAGTAGCACTAAACGTTGGTTGGGTAAGTTTTTCTAGCGATATTGCTTCAACGAAAATTGAAGTTGCTCGACTTCCTATATTTGTCAATATGGATTATACAATTTGAATAAGATTTCAAGAACGTGACTGATACTGTAATAACACTATAATTACGTTGTTTATGTAATCACTTTACATAGAATTAATGTCTAATTTTTTAAAATGTATTCCTCATGTTCTTCAGTATGTAATTCGCAGATGAGTTGTGAAGTGGTGGCAGGAATGTTACCAAGAATACCGATCAGTCCCATCGAATACTATAATTATATCCAAAGAGTATATATAGAACAAGAGAGCCAACAACGCTCATTGAGAGCGTAAAAAAACGATACGCTCTACGCAGCTAGTGTAGGACGCCAACTAACGCTTGTATGTGTTTTATTACCATAGAGCTATTAAACAACTAGAGTGCTGACAAGATGGCGGAGCAATGCAGAGTTGTGTATGTGTACCATCCAAGATGGCCGTCGTAGGAAGGCGCCACCTTCAGGCTTAGTATATATATTATTACCATAAATAAGCCCTCTGACTGAATATTATTTCATTAACGATAATTAGTATTGATAATGACAAATTATTAAACTGTCGTAGCCAAAATGAGGCCAAGTAGAGCATCTTATTCAAATATTAAAAAGAATTAAAATCGTGTACATTACAACCCATACACCGCAACGCTCGAGTTTCAAAATACGGGTAAACTAGCTGTACTGAACTTTCGGTGTAAATTGAGGGCGCAATTGAAAATGATAGTGCTCAGGGGAAATTTGATTGGCTGAATCTATGGCAGCCATCTTGGATGGTACACGCACACAGCTCTGCGTATTTCGAACATCGAATACATTGCTGTTAGCACTCTAGTATTCTTATTATATCTCTATGTTTATTACCCAGTACTCTACCGCGCACGGTAGGTTTGTCTGTTTATCTGTTCTCCACAAGGTACTTTTGTTTTCTGCTTACTGAGTTTATAGCGGGCGTACTTCTACCGCGCTGCGCAGCGCTGCACTGGTAATAAAAAGAATATACAACCGTTAGTGGGCGTCCTACACAGGCATGACGTTTTTACGAACGGGACTTTGCTCTCTTGTTCTATTTTAACTCTTTGTTATATCTAATAAACGTTCTTTTTTTTGTATTTAGAGAATCAATGTTCATATTTCAATGATTATTTAAAATACTGCCGTGGTTGTCCTAATTACCAGCACCATATTAGAGAATTTGGTATAACTCTATATCGTGCTTTGGAAAGTTATGGTGTTTTACATTATACCTACCAGGTACATGACATATGGTGCTACAATTCCACCAATTCTTGCAGACATTGAGCACGCACTGAAGCCAATATTTCTGTAGATCAAGTTCGTCACAGTAGAATTTATAAATAAATATGTTTCTAAATAGCAACACAACACAACACATTCTACAATCAATATATATATTTCTAAATACCAAAACAACACAACGCGGTCTACAGTTTCTAATTATTGACAAGGGGGATTGGTTATGTTTTTTAAAAGCAAGTTCTTCCTGTTATATATTATACGGTAGTACAGACCGCACCGCACTATTGCTGTGTCAACTGCATGAACATTGTTTACTCTTGTCATTTAGTTAGACCCAAATGGACATACTCCACATTGCGTAGTCTGTACAAAAGCAAAGAATCCGTTACACATACTTATTCCGTGTACACCAATCCATTTACAGTTGTTACATCCTTGCCTATTTTTAATTAACTTCTTTATATAATTATATATAACATAATATTTTGTAGTTATCATTTTCATGACCTTAAGTTTTAATCAACATTTTCTAGGAAAGTACTGTTTTCTTATTTTAATTTGCTTTACTTTGTAAAGCTCATAAATAGTATTATCCTACAATATGCTATTGTCCTATGACCTACAAGTTAGTTTACCCGTGGTCAGTATTTAATTAACGCAAGGTAAATGAACTGAGTTTGGTACCTCTAAGACTTGAATGTGGTTTTGCATCCGGGACATTTACTTTCAGTTGGTCCAAACCACTTATTTATTACCTTAATTAAGTATGTTTATCGGACACTTTACTATAGCTTTTAATTGGTGGATTAGTTTGCTAAACTTGTTGAAATTGGTGCCCTGATTGGATGGGGCCCTTAATATGCAAAGTGTCACACCTATCTTAAAGGGTCTTACTACCCAAAGTAATTCAGTTGTAATTTGGGATCCAGTGCAGACAACTCAAGACATCTTTATTACCTGGAACCCTGTTATTTTGTCCGGCTTCAGTTCCTCTCTGATCTGTAAGTAAGGTACTTAAGTTGCTGCTTCAGGTTCTAACCACCATCATCCTCTAAGCTCACTTATATGTTTAAATTCTATCTTTGTTTAATTACCGTATTATAATCGCATTGTAAATAAATTTTATATATTTTCTAAATACACAAAAGTTGTGATCTATTCTCTGTTAGTTATTCTGAGCCGTAACGTAACACAGTTAATATTATTCTTCCTTAATACGCCATAGAAGGGGCTCAGCTTCCGGTTGGTGATTCTTACACATCATCTGCTACAGAAAGTTTATCTATTGTAGAATTAATACTTACAGTATTGTGTTGTCATCATCTACTTTAAATACTTCTAATCTACTCTAAATACTTCTATTCGCATCACGACATGTAGATGACATAAAAACCTGGAACCCCGAGAAGTCCCCATCAATGAAAATGGATCAGCTATATCGTACCTGACAACCGTCGGGAAAATCTCGGAAGCAAAAATCCAAACGACGGTGTAGCTTGTAGTAATACCAAACTTGCCTAGGAATGCCAGTGTAGTGATAATACTTGTCAAGTTTTTGCCATCATCTTTTTTGGGAATATAATTTTAAAAATAATTCAAAAATAATTACACATTTTAGCCTGTTCTTAAAGCTATAACATTATAATAGATTAATACTATTTGAAATGTGGAAAGAGGTAAAGCTGCAGCTTGCGTGATAGAAGATTACTTGATTTCTGTCGAAAATTATAAATTTTTATACAAACATCCCTATACACCTCATGTTGTGAGTTAGTTCACAGAACAGAACATGATCCCTCTGTCAAATTTTATTGATGTGAAAGGGAAGTTCTTAGTGGCATTATCTTAAAACGTTCTTATCATGTTGTATATTATTATGTACTTAATATAATAATACTGATGAAGAGGAATTCCAAAGAGTTTCTTAATCCAATTTATAAAAATCGCATGTATTAATATACAGTATTAGTGATAAAATAATGTAATTGATTTTTTTTTCAATTTGCAGCAATCTAAATTGCCTACAGATTTCCTTCTAATTCTTGAAAAAAAAATCATAACATCGGCGGTGGTCCGGGTCCAGCTGCTTCTCACCCATTTTTTGGTTGGTAGAACCAAGAGTTCGTAGAACCAAGAGTTCTCGGATGAGGACTTACAATGGAGGTCCAGAGTATACATCTGGCTCCTGTGCACTTTAAAGTAACCCATTGCATCTTTCGGAAGAGTAGGGGGACCCCGATGTTATGGTTCATTTCAGCTCCTGTCGTTGTAGAATGATGTGAACAAATAGCTACTATTAAAGAGCCTCTTTATGGCTGCCACGTAGTCACGGACCACTCCCATACGCAATTCAATACACTGATGCTGCAACGTATGGGTTATTCTTCTACCTTTACCTTTTACCTTTATTGTACAGTCAAAATGCTCACATAAATGACAGTTAATTCAGTTACTCACAGTTAATGTTTCTATTATCGTTGGTTAATGTGAAAATGTGCAAAAGCTAACCTGTTTCCTCTGGAACTACAAGAATAAGAAACAAAGCCACAGCTGCCAGGATGTGGAATATTAGACCTAGTTTCCGGCGACCATATCTATAGTCAAGTGCAAAACATCTTTACAATGTGTTGCTAATTATGTAATACGTTGATACAGAAAAAAACATAAAAATATGTAAAAAAAAAAAAATTTAAAAAAATCACCGATCGACATGTGCAGGACTTACCTCAATGGGGTAAGGTTGATTGTTTAATAACATGAATTGTTACATTTTAAATCATTCTTTTCTTAGAGTGTCATTTGCTTTTAATGATATATGTACTAGCAGAATAACATAAATTATTTTTTATGCAAGCATGATGGAAGCATAACACAAATACAACGATAAACTCACCGCGGCATCGCAAAAGCTGTAAAAATGTAGGCTGGAACTTCCGCGAGCCCTAGAAGAAACGAGTTAATGTATCGGTTTCCCGCCACATTAGATGAATTGAGTGCTAATCCATAGTACACCATGCTGTTCACACACCTGCAATTATTTGTGAAGTGTTAAGTATATAAACCTCATAATTATTATCAGACAATCATTTTAATATTTTAGTTTAATAAAGCCGTTACTGTGAGCATTATTACAAGAATGGATTGTATCATTATCCAGTATTGAAATCAGGGTACACTTTCTAAAATTCAATAATTTCTGTGCTCAAATCAATCAATTGTATGTTACTGCTAAATGAATATGTTAATTTCAAAATTATTTTATATGATTTTTTTTTTGTACATTTTCAGAGGACAATACATTTTAAGTACACGATTATGCGTATTTTTATTTTATTATGAATGTTATTAAAATCCACTACATTCACAAATTAATGGAAATTTCACTTACCATAGGTAAAACAGCACAATAGTATGTTTTCTGATTTGTGGTGTCCTAACCGTATCCAGTATTGTGTACACTTTCCGTGGCGATCTTTTCACCTCCATTTCCTTTGCTTCATTCTCACCATTACTGCTATCCATTATGCCAACATCTTTTAATGTGATGTCGGTTTTGTCATCATCCGAAATTTTCCAAGTGACAAACCTGTCGTATTTTCCGTTAAATTTTGCGATTTTCTTAAAAACTTGTTCTACCTCTTTGTATCTGTTTTTGCTTAAAAGCCATCTAGGTGATTCGACTACAAACCTTAATTGAAAAGATATTATATTATTATTACTATTATAGTACTAATATCAATTTTATCATTCATTGAAAATTAGAGGGAATAAATTAATCTATAATTAACGTTAATATATTTAGTGTATATCCAACCATCCGTATAATAATTATTGTAAACTAGAAAAAGCAAATGTATGTGCAATTCCAAAACCTAATGTTGCCCAAACGTCTTTCCTTTTTCAAAAGCCTCAATTTTTTTAACAATGTTGTCTTACCACCAAAAAGGAACAAACAGTAAAAACGGGAGTGTTATTGCCAATTGGAAATGGCGCCAATTTGGAAAAAGGTAAGCTATAGGTGTCAATAGACAAAATCCAAGTCCCCAGGCAATAGTGTTGATACATAGAGCAAGTGTCCTTTCCTTTGGAGGAAACAGCTCTGCATACAGTATAAACAAGGTCGTCACCACAGACTGTAAAAATAAAACAACGGACAGTTTGTTGATTAGATAAATTGGATGCATCCAGTGGCATATTTAAGGGTGTGCGTTAGGGAGAACCCCTCCCAAAAAATGCGGGTTCCACCAGTCACCCCATTATAATGTTTGAAGCAAAAAATCTCGCTCAAGTAGGTAAAAATCACCTTATTTTGAGAGCTAGCTCCCCCTCACTTAATCAGCTAGCCCCCTACACACCCCGCTTCATTTTTGCAACCTCCGATAAGCCCCACCCCTGCTCCCCTCATTAGTGCTCCCAAATTAGGCCTCCTTCGTCGCATTTCAAGACTCTTAGACACGCCACTAGGTGCATCACAGAGATAATGTTGTAGCGTGTTACAATGTTCTAACAAACAATAACATACAATGAGCCCTTCAATTGACGTCCAATTTTCAATTGCTGGTTACTTCATGGTAATAATGTAATGGAATATTGAATTAGGTTAATGTAAAAAAAATTATTTTAACATAATTAATTATTAGAAGTTGTTTTACAAGATTTCTTAAACGGCTTGAAAGCTCAGCATAGTATCTCATCTTGAAGATTGGAAAATGCAAAATAAACGAGGTAGTACGTACCAGTTGTTACCATTGTGAGAATTTTTAACTTACCAAAAATTCCTAATATTTCCATAACGGGCAAAATGTACACGTAGAAATATTATTTTTGTTTAAAATAAAAAATGTTATTGTGATAAAAAATATTTAAAAATTATATATATCACCATTTCACACATTGCCAACACAAACCACACAACGACAAACGCAATGTAACCTTTAGTAACCACCAGAACTGTCCCAGCAATTGCTCCAACAAGTATTGTTAACCCTGCTGTTTTCTTTCGGCCAATTAAATCTGATAATTGACCAGTTATAAAGGATCCTGCTAGAATTCCACAGAAGTAAATAGAAACAGCAGTTGTAGACAATATCGTTTGGTCACACACTAGATCTAACTGCAAAAAGTATAAAAAACAATTTTATAGATATATAAGCATACATATACAAAAATGGCATATATATATACATATATATACATATACGTAAATTTTTTTGTGATACGTTTAACCGTCATATCATTACTATATATACGTATATATATATATATATATATATATATAGGCCTATATATATAAACTGCCTTGTTGTTAATACTATAACTATATATCTGTTCCAGCAGGGTTCCCCACTGTCAGCCTTAATGGAAACAAAACAAAATTATAGTATTTAAAAAGGGAAATATTCTTAAACTGAGTGAAAAATGGTATTACAATGTTTAAAAGATTGAAACCGCTAATTCTTTTAAATATCTAGGAGCATTTTTGGATGACAGATACGGATGCTATTAACTTTAGTATTATTCAGGAGTAATATTAATTTTTCTGTTTTGAACTTCTAATGCATCTTCTCGTAAACACTTTTTGAAGATTTATAACGGGTTTCCCTCATCTGACTCTTGGATTACAGAGAATACTATTAAAGCAAAGACTTAGTGGTTTCAAAGGCGTATTTTATCGATTTTAGAGTCTACTGATTATGTACAAAACACATTTACAATTATTTTTCTCCCCGACGAACTGTTTTTTTTTCGGACGTGTGTGGGGAGGGGGGTCGGAGCCCTCTCCGACGGGGAGACATGGCCTCCACTCCCCCACCCCTGCGCTACCTCTGCAAAGATTGAAAGCTATATAAATAAGGTTCTTACTTTTGATGAGCACTAAATTCACTGAAATCTGAGATACATTTAATTGTCAAGATGTGAAAGTTTGAGGTTAGTCGGACCAGTAGTTTTTGAGTTATGCTTCCGGAAGGACAAGTACTCCACAGACAGACGGAGAGAGACTAGAATAAGCAGTGCCAGTATATGTGGCCTGAATGTTACCAGGGACCAGTCTTACCAACTTGATCGCATTCAGTATAGAGCCTGAAATAATCTTTAACGAAACTTTAGAATGATGACCCTGTTATTCCACTCATTGTAAAAAGGGACAATTTGTGCAGGGGATACTTCACCAAGGTTAAGCACCCGGAACATGCACTTCATAACTTGCTACCTGAATAAACAAATATCAACAGTATAATCTGAGATTACAAACCCTCGCCCTATTGCGCGATATCTATGTCTACCGAAGGCCTATTTATGCCCTTTTTTGATTGTTTTTGGTTTTCAAGTTTGTACATTTCTCTTTTGTATTTTAACGTTGTAATATGTTCTCCTGCTTTCTTATTTAACTAATTGAACTGGGGTATTTTAAATATTTTTAATATTATTACTTTTTTTTTCTCTACATTTCAAATTTTTCTTAAACTTGCAATAAACATATTTTGAATCTTGAATCTTAAAATAAGTTTACCTACCTCTGTAACAAGTGAGATTTCACCATCCGCAACATCGTATAGCCAACCATCTGTGCAAGGCATTGTTTCATCTGAAAATTCATCGCTGCCGTTACTGTTTCTGAACATAGAACACTTCTCATATTTTCCATCGCCTGCAATTGGTATACTGATGTTTGGTTCAAGTTCAGTTTTGCAGTAATGTGGCGGTTCATACAGAATGAATATGAACGAAAACACTTGCCAGGCTGGCAAACAGGAAGCTAGAACTCCGAACAGTACGATAATAACAAGTTGGTAACGTCCAAAACCTCCTAAATCGCTCAAACACTTGTCAACATTCATAATGGTAGTCATAGTAGTCTTGCAGAAAAATGAACAATAGTAACGTTTACCAGCACGTTAGAGACAAGTGTGGGTTTCTTTTGGATCAAGCTACACAAAAATACTTCTATTTGTATTGTCGCACTTATTGAAATAATATGAGCCTCGCAAGGCTGGTTTGCTCTTTTTAACTACTAGCATAAAAAAAACCAGCACCAGATTGTTACTACAGATTCGCATTCAATTGTGTTCCATATTGTAATAACATTAAATTGAACCTTAACCTGGATTATTATCAAAAGATTGTTTGACCTAGAGACGAGGAAATAATAATGTGAACGCAACTGGTGTTTCCTAAGTTTACTTGAAACGAATTACAGGTTATGCACATACCTTATAAAAATTTAGCTACACTGTAAAAGCAATTTGGGGGATTTCAATGTAAGCTCCATGTGTCCCGTGGTGAAACTTAAAGCTAAATGTGTTTTAGGTATAGCCTAATGAGGATCTTGACGTGTTTAGCATTGAAATGTTGCTTTGGTATTTGACATCATGATGCCAAATTAATACCTAAGCAAATTTTCATGCTGAACACGTCAAGAACCTAAACACATTAGGCATCTTTTAGACACGTTTAGCTTTTAAACATATCACCAAAAGCGGGGGAAAATTGTTTACAGGTTTGCGTTGAAATCCACCACGCTGTCTTTACAGTGTAACTTTGTACTAAGTCAGAGAAGAGTAGAACGGTCTCATAATTAGTTCTTCTGGGAGCGTTTGTCGATCTCTACTGAATGAGCATTTATTTAATTAGATAATTATTATTCGGTTTTATCGATGTAAGTACAATTCTCGGCAGCGGTAACTCAGGTGTACTGTGTGCAGATATTGAAGACCTAAAAGGTTTTTTATAGTCAAATCATCATTCTCTCTACGGGACTCTCTAATATAATGCGAGCCTTTGGATTTTAAAGAGTCGCTGAAATCCTTTCCCATTCCCTGCGTAAGGTCAGTATCATCAATTCAAGGTGTCAGCCCATATAGAAATATAGTTTGGACACCATTGTATGCGAAGAAAAGGAAAGCAATCGTGTGTAGGAAATGTCCAATCGATCGTGTATGACCGGAACTGAATAGGCACAGATAATCTGCATTCTGTTGTATGAGTAATAATAATTATACTTAGGGATCGGATTCCAAAACTAAGCGCGAACTCGGTGGTCTAGTGGTATATAACTCTAGGCTTTGGAGGTCGTAGGTTCCATTCCCATCTGAATCACTTACAGGGGTTTTTAGCCAGTATTTGGGAACGTACATACCGAGTGTGCTATTTGAGAATCAGATTCAACACTTCACTAAGCGCAAGGTCGTTGGTTTAGTGGTTATGGCACCAGACTAGTTGTCTTAAAGTCGTGTGTTCGATTTCCACCCAATTCATTTACAATTTTTTTTCCCCAGTATATTATTTAGGTACGATAACATACTCCATAATAAACACAATAATAATAATAGTAATAATAAATTATTAATAAAAAGTAATAGGACCTAGGCCTTATAAATGAGAGGACTGCTGCGTACTAACATTATTATTATTACTGTTATTATTATTATTATTATTATTATTATTATTATTATTACTATTATTATTATTATTATTATTATCAATATCATTATTATTATCAATATCATTATTGTTACTATTATTTTGAAATGAAAGAAAAAACATCAATGTCGTTTTAAACAGTTTATTTATTTCAAGAACATGTAAAAATAGCCCCTTTGCAAACACTGAATGACCATACGTAGGCATATACTAAAACACTGACACTATAAGTATTGATCGTCCCCAACGATATAATACACTTGATTCTAATAATCAAAGAATTAGATATTATAAATCTGATTATTTGGGTGTTTTTGTTTTTGTTTTTTTTCTTTTGCCTTTTAGTCTTCAAATCTTAAGCGGGCATAATTGGATAGTTGTCTTTGTCCAAATATTATCCTGCAAAATGATACTCTGAATATAACTAAATTGTGCAAAATTTAATATTATAAATGATATATCGTACTTGAAAAATTAGACTATTTTTTTCCAATTAGTAGTAAAAAAACTCAATAGGCAAATGTCTCATTTATAATTTCGTTTCCAATTTAGAAGTGAATCACTAAGTATTTTATATGTTTTTGTTGAATCAAAATAATCTTAATTAAGTAATGGTTTACAACAAAATATTTTGAAAGTACGTACTGCAAATTGTACTCTTAAGGCTAACTCAGACAGCGTCGGCGACGCAGCCCGACGCGATTTGTTGTCGCGTAAGGTCTGTGCGAGTTAAATCGGGTCGGGCTGCGTCACCGACGCTGTCTGAGTTGGCCTTAAGCCTGTGAAATAATGTGCATCGGTCGACGGTTGTCCGCGCAATACTTTGGAGACACGCATGATACGCACACGACGGATAGTTTTCAATGACGATCCGTTTAGTGTAGAGTGCCACCTATAGTAGGTAGACGGCGAAGTGGCGTCATATGCTCACACAGAGCAAAAATAGATCGTCGATCGACAGGCGACCAATCGTCGGCCGATACAGTGTGTGCCCGCAATAGGTCTATAAAAAATAACAGCCACTCCTGTGCTGTATGGACATAAAAGCACACTATCATTTTTAAACTCTATTTCTCTAGTTTAAACTAAAATCCTAACCATTAAGCTATTAAGCTTTGCAGTGGCGTACCTAGGAGTCTTATAATGGGAGGGGGGCTGTTGGGAAAGCACGAAGG